AATTAAAATTAAAGCCAGCCCTACCGCTAGATGGCGTAGTATCTCCATTCGCAAATCTTCAAGTGACCAAGTGAAAATGATCGCATAAGTCGAAGCAATGTAAAAGGACTCCGCAAGAATTTTATCGCGAGTATCTTTGTACGAAAGATCAGAATCCAAAGCTGTCGAGCGCACAATGCAGCCGTTGAAGGCACACACAGCACGTGCACGAGCCCAACGTATAATACATCGTGTTTATATACGCGAATAAGCCGCGTGAGGCCAAGCGAGAGCAAGACAGGGTCTCTCACTCGTCTCGAGGCTCGTAGCAGTGCGAACGAGATATAGATATACAACCGCGCGAGAGAGAGGGTTGAGAGCATCGATATTCGTGCGGGCTCCTATCCTATATACGGTGTAAGCTCGCATCGTAGGAGGGTGTGTGGATTGCGTTAAACGATACTCCCTTGTACTCTCGTGCGCGTCTCGTCTATAATACGAGGCCGGCTAAGAGTCTATTACACGATGCTCGATTAAATATGTATTACACACCATCGACGCGTGTAACGTACTTGCACTTGCACGCATGCATACTGCAACGTGACGGATTGTCAAGCGTCGGTGCAGTATACCATATAGCCAGATCGTTTTATTCTCGAACGCTATCGAAATAAATGGTAAAAATAGATTCTAAATCTATTTTATCGGCGAACTCGTTGCGAGCTCAATAGAGTTTCGATACCCATACATAGCACAGACAGACAGACGCAACCTCGGCAACCAGTTTCTCGGCGTGAACCTGACCTTCATCCTCTAAACGCGCGCGTGTAAACGTACCCCCGTCGCACAGCACCACCACCGCAGCGCACCATCGCATGCACTGCAGCTCGAGCCCGCGATTATACGATATCGAACTTTATATCGTTCCTTACATCACGCGCGTATTTTGCCTTTGTGCGCGTATTATATAATATATATAACATCGGAGAAACACTCGTTGCGTTCGCGTTGCGTCGCGTAATTATCTTTCTCGAAGCTCGACGTTCGTACCTGTGTATAATATACGCCACCAGACGCGCGCGCACCGCGCACAGGGTTGCGTGCACTTTTCCGCATCTGGTATTGTGTCGGCCGGCCGGCTATTTTTTTTCCCTTTCATATAAATTTCTTTCTCTCTCTCACTCGAGCAAAGCCGATCGAACGGATATCCGGTTTATTAATACATCGTTTATTGAATTGCTTGAGCGCGAGCGAGCGAGCCGATGCTATACAATGATGCAAAAAAGCGCGCGCTGTATGTAATGCACTTTATAAATAAGAATCGCGCGCACAATAATGGTAATTGGTCCCTCCCCCCGCGCGCGCACCCCGATCGCGTGAATAACGTACATTGTATCGCGTACGAGAGAGATTTTTTTTTGTTCGTTTGTCACGATGTATTAAAAGTCATTTCAATCAGCGGTACGCGTACATATACGATCGCTAGGATATATTTAATAAAATAAAAAAATAAAGGAAACATCAGCGGATGAAATTTTTGATCGCCATAGGCTGTTGTTGCAAAAAAGAATCAATCGCTTAATCGACTCGGCCGCTATCATCAACCGAAATCAAAGGCACCACTATATACTACTGCAGCATCATTGGGTACGATAAAAGTGAGGATCATCGGCCCGGCTTACTAATAAAAATACCTGACTCGCGTCGACGCTTTTTTTTTTACATACACATCCCGCTCACGTAGATCACGAGGGGGTGGGCGGGAATGTATATAGCCTCCGTTGCAAGCTCGCAAGAGGCCAGTAAACGTATACACGCAGCAGCAGCAACAGCATCATAGAAGAGCAATCAAATTAATAAAGGCACACCGAGCTTTACTTGGGTTCGAGCTTTGGCCGCCGCCGCGTACATATATACCTATACACGTGCTATCGCTGACAACAGAGAAAGCGAAGCATACGCATACATAGGAGCTGATACACATACACATATACGCACACGGGCGGCGCAGCGTCGCGGTCGTATTACGTCCACGCCACAGGCTATTCGGTCAATCGGCGAAATTGGGAATTATTCGGATTATTTGCTTTCTCTGTTGCGCGCACGGTACAGAGGGAGGGAGGAGCGGGGCGAACTTTACTCGGGTATAAGAGCAACAACAACAACAAACAAAAAAGCCAACGACACGCACACGCGCAGCATCAGAAGCTGTAAGTTACCGAAGAGCTATTGCTATCCTATATGAGCGCGCGCGCGTATTATATGGATTTCCTAGACCCCGATACACAACAACGCGGCTCTAGCCCTCCTACGCGCGTATATAATGTATTAGGATGGCCTCACAGCGAACTAGGTATGTTGTACGCATTGTGCAGTAGCGAACTATCTACACACGTGTGTGTCTGTGTGCCATCGCACCGCAGAACCATACGTTGGAGAGAGATCTAAACTGGTATACATACGAGCTGCTGCTATTTTGGCCAGATTACAACGGAGCTTTGATAAAATAATTATAACGGCTCGTTTAATTTGATTCGACGCGAGCTATGTGCTGTGTATAGGGATAGGATACGTATATAATGTATGACTAGAGTATATAGTTGCCGCGAACACACGTACAATAGGATCTGTATAGTGCATTCCTTTAGTAGTAGTGTTGAATTCGAGCCGATTTTTTCTTCTAATTAAACAATTATAGTTTGAAAAAGACATTTATGAATTATTCTATTCGTTCGATGCGATGGTATAACGCGTTACTTAGTGGGCTTTTAAACGGTATAGACTCTCTATACACGGCTTCATTTGATGTACGCGATTTAGATGCAGCCGACACTATATGGAAAATCGACCACGGAAATCTAAGGTATAAAAGCCCCGCGAACTGCACCTATAATAATGTGCCACTGCTCGTGTAGCGTCAAATGACCGGGCTCTCTCTTTCGCTCGGGCTAAAGCTGAAAGATAGATGATGCCATTCGCGATGTATGCACGTATAGAGTCGACCGATTCGCGTCCATCCCTCGCGGCGGCCCTCGCGTATACTCGAATGTACTCGTTTCTCTCTACGCGCGCGCCCTATACGCGTTAACCGGGGCTGGCTCGAGAATATCTAGCGAGCTCGCGTATGTAATATATTTCGAATATACACATATGCGGAACGATATCTACCTGTGCGACGAGTACGACGAGTACATGCTACGTATCGGTTGGAGCGTCTATATACATTACGAAACTGCACGCGGGTTAAATAATTAAAGATGATGATCGTTTCGGTGCCTAACTTATATACATTTATGTTATAACGTCGATGAGCTATATAATATGAGTACTTTTATTATGAGCCGTTTGCATTTCAGCCCCCGACTTTTATCGAAAAAAGAAAAAGGAAATAATTGTACAGCTCTATTTCGTATCGTATTTTTTCTATATGGTAATAATCGATGAGATCATCAAATGAATTAGCCTACATACGTAATTAATCCAAGTTTCTAAAACGAACCCAAAAAATATACTCGAAGCCTCGCATGCGGATTTGAACTGCAGCTTGACTCCAACACACGTGCTCGGTACAGATTTGTCGCGGTGCGGAGGGAAGTAAAATCGAGCAGCGTACCGCAGCACACATAGCTATATACAGTATATAACACGGCAACGCAGAACAGAAAGAGCAGAGAGAACAGAGAGAGAACAGAGAGAGAGAGAGAGGGACTTTTGGTGGAGGTTCGAGCTGCAGCATCGCAGCAGCAGCTAGCCGCCGGATGCCGGACGATGATTTCTGATTAACGGCTATAGTTGTTTCGGACGGCGGCGGCGACGGCGGACGTCGAGTAATGACTCTCTGCAGGACAAACTACCTCTGCCGCACCCCCCGCAAAGCTCCGCCGCCGCTGCTGCACTGCGCGTTTACCTATGTACGGGATCGATGCCGTGTGCGTAGTATATACGCAATGCATTTTGCCTGCAGAGATATAGAGCGAGGAGTGAGCGAGAGAGAGAGAGAGGAAGAAAAAGCAGCAGTGGACGACCTGTCAGAAACAGTGCGACGCAGAGTCATTCCAAAGAATAAAAACAGAATGGAAAGTCAATGACGCGATTAAATCTCCCTATGCGCAGCCAATGACGATTGGCTTATAATGACAAATGCTGCTTTTCCCGATTGCAGTTATACCCAAAACTATGTAATTTTCTTCGATCGAGTATACCCAAAAAGTTGACGCATCTTGAAAAATTGCGCGCGAACGATCGTCATCAGCGCGACGATATGGATTAATCGTGCATGTGCGTGTGGTTGGTATAATGTGGCTCGGACAGCCAAGTGATACGCCCGTGCACACATGTAATAATGTTGAAATGTTCTCTCTCTCTCTTTCCCTCGCGCATAACATATATATAATGTAGACAATCGAATAGCCATCATGAGCAGAGAGCAGAGCGAGCCCTTATACAGTCCAAAATCACCGTTATTGTAATCATCGTCATTGCTTTTCCCTCTCCCTCTCTCGCTGCTCACTTTTGCTCCGAACAACATGACGATGATGATGATGTCTAGCGCGCGTACCTCTCTCTCGTATGTGTGTGTGTGCGCGCGCGTACGCCTGTCACTTGCACAATCGTATACAAACTTGCTATATATGATACACATGCGAGCAGTGCACGAGAACATGGCATCCCTTGTGCCAAGTATCAGCGGCCTACCATCTACCCTCTCTCTCTATTTCGAAAATGATGTCGCTATTAATGATTGAAGTCATTAAATGCACTCGAATTGTGAACGCCTGTATTATTCTCGAATGCGTTATATGTACATGTGCCGACGAGCCTATCCAGTTTTGGGGCCGAAAATTGAATATCGCCGAACGCGATAACGACAAAGAGGGCGAGGGGGATAGACGCGTACACTGCGCATTACGTATGCTGATGAGCTTTGGAATTACACGAGGATCCGCGCGTTAAAATTCCTCTATACATTATGTACATGTATGCGAAATCGTCCGCATCGAGGACTCTGCGACTAGACTTACCTCGACCGCTCCTGCCGACGAACCTGAGATCGTTGAATTTCGCCACCTGATTCTTCATCAGGGCCGTGGCGTTTCTCAGCTCGGCGCAGCAGTTCTCGTCGTTGCCGGCGCGTATCGTCACCACGGTGCCGTCGCCGATCTCGCCCAGCGCCACCACCTTGAACGCCTGGGGCAGCGTCTTGTTCGAGCGCCAGTGCGTCGGCAGCTGGCTGCAGAGGAAGTACGGCGAACCTGTTGGGGGAGGAAGCGATACACATTGACAAAAAGGCTTATTAAGAATTTTTTAATTCGTCTATTATGTATAGTAATGATAATTCCGTACGCGACGCGTAGTGACAGGAAATTTGGAGACTCGGCTCCTCTCTTTTAGCGCAACAGAGAGACAGAGAGAATCGAGAGTGGAACGGTGAAAAATCTCTGTGGAGACAAAAGATCATAACGCAGGTGGCCGACGACCAGTTTCTCGGATATTTCGTCCGAGCGGAACTCGTGCCTTGGCCTGCGAGAGCTATTACGGCGCGAATATACGGATTATAAGAGAGACAGAGAGAGATGCAGAGAGAGAAAGGGAAGAAACTCGAGGGGGTTTGGCTCTCCTCATTACTAGCCGGCGCGACGACGTATGCGCCGCTGCTTGGGTACTTATTAAAGGCCAGCCTCGGCTAATTGGCAGGGTCAAAGTGTGTGGGAGGGCTAAGACTCTCTGACTCTCTCTCTCTCTCTTTCTCTCTGCGCCCGAGCCAAAACCCAAAGTGGAAGCTGCTCCTGCGTATAAGTACATACATACACTACTCGGACGTATCTTCTTTTTTTTCTTGCCCTGTATTACAACGCACGTATAGATATAAATTTCGCGCGCACGTGGAATAAGAGAACGAGAGAGAGAGATTTACTCGAGAAAACGATTTTATAGCTTACTCTCGAGACGAGGAGATCGCACGGAGGTGAATCATCCTCGAGGCTCTTTAATTTTTCAGAGAAACATTACGCGTTTTTTTTTCATATAAATTGAAATATATAAAATATATCTGATCGATTTAATTGCCGCCGCCGTCGCCGATCGACGCAGAGCGCAGTTTTGAACTTGAAAGCTGTACGCGCCAGAAAGTATATATATAATAATATTATATACACACAAAGTGTACGTATATACGGTTTTCGTAGAACATAATACGAGGTGGATCGAGCGCGGGCAAAAAAAATCGAGTCATGCATCGCGAGGCACTATGAGTTTTCGAGAACTTGTAGGTGAGATAGTGCAGTTGACTGCGGTTTTGCATTTTCAAGTTTTATACAGCTAAAAACCCCCTTCGCGATAACTTTGCGTGGGTAATTTTTTTCTCTTTCTCTTTCTCTTTCTCTCTCTCTCTCTCTCTCTCTCCTTTTTGCTACTGCTGCTGCTGTTGCTGCTGCTGTTGTAGACACACTCATTTATTATCGTTCTCTACTTTAATAAATGGAATCATATTTAACCACAGTCAATACTTTGGTATACTGACCAGCAGCAACGGCAGCAGCAGCAGTAGCAACAACAGCAGCAGTAGCAGCACTCGCGAATTATATTTTACATATGTTCTTTGATTTCAGTCGTTACTTTTTTTTTAATGCCATATTGCGCGTTTGATACCGTGGATGCACGCATTTTTTATTCATTATACATGCAGCGATGTGTTTTAAGTTTGCTCGCTGTTTTTTTTCTACGTGCGTCTATTCTCGTGCTTTGCCATTTTCAATGTTTTGTCAACTTTTTTTTTGTTTACTTATTGCGGTCGTCGTTATTATTGCTCATAGAAAAATTGCTGTATTTTATTTCAAGTGTTTAGATAGCTAATTTATGTATTATCGTCACACTTCAGCTGTTCGCAAGATTAACATTGATGGATACATAATTGTAATGCGTTCAATAATTCAAAATCTAGCTAAGTACACTAATAACTAGTTTTTAATTAATTTTTAAATCAGATTAATGAATTAAGAAACGATTAATCACGAGCACAGAATAAAAGCGAAACTCCATCAATCATAAATAGATAAGGAGTCTAATCTTTGTTTTTCTTCGTTTAAATCATTCAAATGTTTCAAATAGTTTTTTTATAGAACGATTGAAAATAACTCATCCTATAACCATTTTATTTAAAACTGCACTCAATTTGCAACATCGATAATTATACGAAAGCGAGTTTGTCATTATTCCGATTACAGAGCGAGTATAAAGTATATAAGAAGTAAGCGAAACGAGGTATCTACTTGCGCGTACTTCGCAACTTCTTACATCGATATTTTCATAAGCACGCGATTGTCGGTTGAAGTAAACTTCAAGTATACACATCGCCGAGAAATGCTCTTCAATCTTTACGCCAATTAACTGATAAAAGAGGAACGCGAGGTATAAATTGACGCAAGCCGATATTTAGACGCTGTCGATGCGCGTAATTGTGGCGATCGACGCCAGATGGTGAGAGCGCGGAAAATGTAAACACACGGACGAAACAATCAAATTGGTAGGATAAGTAGCGAATAATGAGTTATTTTATTGAATAATGAGTGATCTTATTATCATTGAGTGTACGGGATACGATCTCATCGACGCGACTTTTAAAAACGCTGCGGGTAAATAAAAATGCAGAAGCAGCTCTCTCACCCGTGCGCACGAGTTCGCCCTCGGGATGCTCGGCTTGGGCCTCGCCGACGAGCCGCTCGGTCCACCAGAGCTCGCCGACGGCCGCGGCCTCGCTGCTCATCTCGGCGCCACCGGTGCTGCCGGGCTCGGCGGCCTCCTCCTCGCCGCCGGCGATCGGCGGCGCTACTTGATCGCTGTTGTTGTTGTTGTTGTAGCCGCTGCTGCTGCCGTTCGGCTGCTGCTGCAGTCCGGGCGCTTGCAGCGCCTCGAGATCGCCGTTGTCCACTAGATTGTCCGGGGGTTGATGCTGTGGAGCTTGATGTTGTTGCTGATGCTGGTGGTGCATAAAATGTTGCTGCTGCTGCTGCTGATGGGGATGCTGCGGATGGACGTGGTTCAAACTGGCACCGAAGCTCTCGCCGGTGCAGCTTACCGATCCCACCGGGAGATGCATCCCATCGGCTGCCGATCCCGCCGCGCAATACGTCGTGACGCTGTCGCACGGCGCTGACGACCGAACTTTACCCTCGACGGATCCTTTTTTTTTTGTTCTTTTTCGTTCTTTGATCGCGCCGGAGATTCACTTCGATCTCGAGTAATCGTGTATCTCCGCTAATTGTGTCACGATGGAGCCTCGTCCGTCAAATCACGCCCGTTTCGCTCTCACCGAAGGTATCAAAATGTAGATTTTCAAGATGGAAACTTTTTGACTATTCATAACTCCGTTGACACTTCGAGATATGTTTTGAACTTCACTGAATCGCATTTTAATAAATTAAACGAATATTCTTGCTGCACTATTAAACTCAAACATTTATTAATACACTTCACACAATAAGTCAAGTTCGGAGTGACAAATCGAAAGAAATCTATCGCGCACAGTTTATCGTCGTTTATCGTTATATAATTGTTACTAACGCCGCACAATTATCACACATTTATTAAGGAAAACACACGGTCGACAATAAGTGACACATCAATACGATTCATTCGATGACACTCGATTCATTTTAGACATCAACACTAGCGAAATATATTTTTGCATTCATCTTTCCTAGAGATCCACGCGCATATCATACGTGAAAATGAAAAAAAAAACAAACATTCGACGCGCCGCCAAAACTCTATGCATCATATACGATTCCGTAAATTTCGCACACTATACTTCGCTTAGCACACGGACGACGACCCGAACACGCGTCTATCGCGCTCGGCGGTTCGCGACGTTATGCCTCTCTCGTGCCATGGCAAAGCCGCAAGCCACCTCGCGCGCGCGGATATACTCAGTTGGTTGGCCGAATATATGCGCGCAGAACACAACACGCCGCTCCACTCGAAAGTGTACACTGTCTCCCTCCTCTCTCTCTTGTTCTCTCTCTCTCTTTCTCTTTACGTGCTGTGCTAATATATATATACGCGACGTGCGAGAACGATACTAATACACTTGTGTCCTATCATCTACTCCTGCTTCGAGTGCTTTTTGTATTTTGTACCAGTTTGGATTAATTAATCGTGCGCGTGCTTGACTACGATTGAATAATTTTTCAATTTTATACTGATATAATTGGAATTGGAATAATGTAAAATTTATGCGCTACGGATTGATTTTGTGCAGGAGATTTCGACGCAAAGGAAAACCTTGAATGCCTCAATATGAAGATTTGGTAATTTCAATCTTTTTTTTTTGAGAAACTACTGCGAAAAAAGCAGAGAATAATCCCAGTTTTGATAATGCGCTTGTGAGAATCTATCTTTCTTGATTAACAGGAAACAAAATCTTATAAACAAAAAAGCATTTTTTTTAACTGTGGAGAAAATAAGCATCTAGTAAAAATTTAGAAAAAAATGAAGAAATTTCTTTGAAAATTGTTGATATCATAATAAAATCTTGTCCTTTTTATGAGTTAATAAGATGAATCAAGTCGTTGTTGCCATTAATAAGTTTATTCATCATGTTTTTAAGGGAACTGCGACGAAATGATTGATCGATTTTTTCTCCCTCCAAACGTCGCCAACCAAAAAAATGCAGTTGCGTTATATATCTTGGAAAATTATGAGAATCGGCTCGTTATCGGCAATATTGATAATTGAAACCGAATAAGTACTTATACATTCATTTAATTTCGATTGATTTCGAAAGCCAAAAGTTTTATGAAAATAAGTAAGAAGAAAAAAAATTAAAAAACAAACAATTTTTAGTTCGAAAAACGAACGAATTCAATAATTTTATTGACCAAGCGTCTTTAAAAAGCTGTCAAAACATTATACCAACAAAATATATGTATAACTACTTCTATGCTAATGCATTATGTCAAAGCAAAATTTAAACTACTTTCGTTATCTCGAGTGACGGCTGGAAAAATGAAATTAAGCCATCAATCTTGACCTGTTGCCGCGAAGCAAATATTACCCAGATCTTCGTTCCTCAGCTGATCGATGATTATTTCGCAGCAGAGGATAGGCAGCCGATAACGGATCAAATCGTAGAAATATTTCAGGGCCCATCGTCGGAAAAATCCTCTCGGCACATTCTCGTAAAGATGTCGTAAAGCATACCTCACAAAAGTGTCGGGGAGATGCGACCATACTGGAAAATCAATTAACTTAAAATAGTCCATATAAGTAAGTACTTTTTCCGCCTCTTCGGGTCGTAACCGCATCAGATCGTAGAGCGACAGTGTCGGAGTCATCATCGCTGTCGCGTCCCTATCTCTCTGGAGCTCCAAATCATCATTGTAACTCCTGCTCGAGACTCTCGGAAGAATTATTCTCTTTTTCAGTTTGCTAATCAATTTTTTCTTCCTGCTCCAACGTGTTTCGATATTCGCCGAATGTTCGGTCATTATAAGATAAGGATGTTCTGGATCTGAGATTTCTAGTCTAAACGTTTTCATAGTTATCAGGGCGTAGTCGTCCACTTCGTATCCTCTTGTTTCGAGACTCTCGTAGATGGCCAATGCAGCAAACGCTGGGGCAATTTTATCATGTCTAATTTTCTCGATGCTATCGTCGTTCTCGGGCAGGAGAACGAAGCTGGACAGATCAGCTCCATGATCAAGCAAAATCTCGACCGTGCACGGCAAGAGATTCAACACGGCCAATTGCAGCGGTGTCCTACCCAAATTGTCGCGGGCGTCGACTCGCACCAGCCTATCGATTTCGTCGGTGATCTCGAAGAGCGCCTCCGTCTTGCCGCAATCGACGGTGTCCTGGCAAATGATGTGCAAAGGAGTCGATCCAGCGTTGTTGGCCAAGTTCGGATCGGCGCCGTTTCTCAGCAGAGATTTGGCCGTATTAATGTATCCATTCTTCAGAGCCAAGTGCAACGTTGTGTTGCCAAAATTGTCTTGGGCGTTGACCTGGAGCGGCTGCTTCATGTCCTTGCAGATCTCGAACATCAGTTTTACTGTTGCATTACCGACACCGCTCTTGCCATTCATGTGCAAAGGAGTCAATCCGTCCTTGTTGGCCAAATTCGGATTGGCGCCTTTTCTCAGCAGTATTTCTGTCGGTTTCGTGCATTGCTCGAACACGCTCAAGTGCAGCGGCGAATCACCCGTTTCCGGCCAAATGAGATTGGGATCATGTCCGAACTCGAGGAATTTTCGGATCGAGTCTTGGCCTTGATAAGACATGCAGGCGGCATGAAAATGAGTGAGGCCGGACTCGTCGACGTAGTTCACGTCGAATCTGTCATATATGTAAAAAAGATGTTCGGCCATGGGATTCCACTCCAAATAGGGTTTGATTCTTGCCGCATGATGCATGGCTGTGGTGCGACGCAGCAGCACTGGATTACCGCCGTCGTTGGGAACGTCGAACCTGTCCTTGTAGCCGGTGCGAGCCACAAATTCGATGAAACCTAGTCCTGGAACCCGGCCGACAATTACGGCCTGGACGAGAAGAAAATCCATTTCATCTTGTTGAAAAATGCTACGAAGATCAGGAAGTTGGATCTTCCAATCTTTGACTACATTATAAAGTTGATAGAAAAATTCATATCGCTCATCTGCAATTTCCCAATTGACATTTAACCCCAAGTTCCTAAACCTTTCTAATTCTTTTCGCTTAAAAGCATACACCTCTTCAGAGTGATTTTCAGGGATTTCCTCGTATGGGCCAACTTCGCCAGGAATAAATCCATACGATTCGTTGCTTCCGTAATCGGAAGTTGCATCGGACTCGTCGTTTTCTTCGCCTTCTTCGATTTCGTTGTCTGGGTCATTTTCGTCATGGAAAATTTCAGCTGATTGGTCGTTAGACGTGGACATTTTTCCTCGCACTCAATTACACACAATCCAACTGAGAACTGAAATATTTCAATTTTTTTTCTCGCGAGAATCACTTGCTACAGTCGGTACGATATTCCTCTGTTGTTCGCGCTGCGGCTTTATAACGTACATTAAAGTCAGTACCGATATTCAAAAGTTAAAAGTACGATAAACGCGAGCTAGGTAGCCGATTTGTTTACTTTTGACCGAGAATATTACAGAGGTACCAAACACCGTGAGAGAATCGGCTTACACGACGCTCCGGAGACGTAACGAATACATGAACCCGTGAAGCAATGAGAGACGCAAGACCCAAAATTATTGCGCTCGTACGCTGCGTAAAAGTTTGTAGTTGCTCGCGTGATGTGTAACGTCTTATGGCTCGTTGGGTAGGCTAGTGAATCCGTGAAAAACGAGCGAGCGCGCGAGCGCGATAATCGTAGGTTTTTAGTCTCAGTAGCGTCTGTTTGCTTCTCGAGCTGTGATTGGTCTACGCTAGGTAGTGTCGAGTGACTGCTTGCTCGCTTAAATTCTATTTTTAATGTTCATAAAGACGTTACACATCTTACAGCTGTTCTTATACAGCTGATTTTGTTTTCTATGTAATTTTAATCAATTTTTAATAAAACTGATTTTTCGATTTATTCTGTTTTTTAATATTTATATTTTCGATGTGTGTATAAATAACTTTGGCCTATTGTGACGTAATAATGAAAGCAACATTTGAGATAAAAACTGGGTTTTTTTATAGATTCATTTATTTGAATGACATGAAAAATCTAAACAGCTGAATAAAAATATACATAACACAAATATTGAAAATATGCTTATTAACACTATGAGCTTTGGCCTGCCTTGATTATTTCACCATTCAATTTTTACCCTTTTAGGAGCGCTTCCAGCTCCAACGAGTCTTTCGATATTACATTTCTTTTCAAATCCACCCGCCACGAAAATGTTAAATAAATCTTGGTTCATCAGCTCGTCAAGAATTAATTCACAGCACTCAAGGGGCAGCCGATAGTGTATTACTTTCCAGAAGGGATCCAGCGCCCAACTCCGGAAAAATTTTCTCGACATCTTATCGCACAAGTGCCTGAAACGAGCGAGCATTGCAACTGGCATTTCGTCACGGATCCACCACACATTTTTCTGTCTCGCAAACTCGTAGTAGTCTATGTACGTCAGCCGCTTAGCTGCCTCTTGGGGCCGTAAATGGATAAGATCGTAGAGCGACAAGTCTGACTTCAACATTTTCTGTCTCGCTTCGTTTGCAAGCTCCTCGTCGTCGCTGTACCGTAAAAGTTCGTCAAGAGTCCATGACTCCTGGAATATATAGTGCCTCTTGAATAATATCATAATCATCATGGCGTCTCTTGATTCCAGCTCGTATCCTCTTTTCTGTAGGCACTCGACGACGGCTAGAAGGCCAGATGCTAATATAAATTTACGTCGAATATCTTCGTAGGACTCGAAGCACTTGTCTAGTTGACTA